AGCTCCATGACGCTGTAGGAGCAGAAGGTGTCTCGCACCCTCAGCTGGCTGACGGCCAGCAGCCACAGTGCTGGGTTGGACTCCAGCTCCACCGGCGGGATCAGGATGGACTGGTGGCCAGAATACACGCTGCAGACAACACAAAGGCTTTTCAGTGTGTGTGTCGGGGATCTGCATGTGCCGACTCAGAACAATAACACAAATTTAAAAATGGACGACATGTTTACAAGCACTAACAGCATCAGGAGACTGACGAGTGTTGATGATCTGGTTATGTACTGCACCGGTTTGGACAGTAAAACTAACATTCACTCTATAACCAGTCACACTTACTAAGACTATGATTTATTGTCCTGAGAAACCGCCCAACCAGCACCACAGGGTTGTGTAACAATCTGATGTAAATGTGAGCTACTGTCAGCGAGGACGACGTGAAATCCTCAAGCCGAGGATGATTTGTTTTATCCCGAAGACATTTAGCAGCAGATATCGGCTCCAGACGAGTTGAGTATTTATGAGAAGAAGATTTGAAAGTAAGCAGACCTGCAGGCTGGAGCCAAGATTTAACGATTTAAAGACTGTCGAGTTTCAGGCGGAGACCTTTAAACATTAATATTACTTATTATTATTATCATTAAGTACAAATCACTGTTCTTGTATTTTAAGAGGGTGAGGCAGGGATGAGTATAACCAAACCTTCCATGTTAAAAAGCTAATTTTCCCCCTTTTACTGAAAATACATCAATAAACACTTAAATTGTGTTACAGTGTAACACAATTTATTATTTACAACTCTACCCAACTCTTCCAGGAAGTGGATTCAGGTTAGTTTAGTCAGGGTATCTGGGCAGGAAATGCTCAAATACTTTAGAATATTTTAAATGTTCAACATAAAAAAGTTATATTTATTTATAAATTTCTTAAATTGCCACTAAGTGTTGTCAGCAAACACAATGAGTCACTGCATCCACAGGTTCGTGCAATATAATGCCAGAGTAAAAGATGAAGGGAGCAGCTCTAATCTGTAGTTCTCAGCTTGTGTCATGTCACAGGGATAAATCCATATAGTGAAGCAGTTTTTAAGCATTGTTCAACTTAAGGTTTTCCTTTCCCGCCATTTAACAGGAGGGTGTTCAAAATAACAACATGCAAGCTTGTTTTTAGCAGCGTGCTGCAGTACTCATGGTGCATGCAGCTCAGGTTTGCACACGTTATTAAATGAAAAAAACAAAGAAAGATGAAGTCATGAAACAGATGTAAAGCATTTTAAAATGAACTTAAATATATAAATATATATTAACCCTCTCGAGGCAGGCGTTGC